CATTAGTGACGTTTGTACTAACTTGGTTTTAAAGCCTTTACTTTAAAATATACACCGTTCAATAGCTGAGCTTAATCCTACAGAGAATGGTCAAAGCTCATGTAGAAACAAACAAACAAATGAACACAAGATTTTCTCCTTCATTTCTGTCAAACAAAGCTGTATGACACATTTCCAGTGGTTAGTATCATGGTTGCTAGGCAACCTGGGCAGCGCAACCTGGGCTTTTTTTTTTTTACTTTATTGACAAACAACAGTATAAGCGCAACGGAGGCTAGACCGTCCCATTTCACAAGCCTCGCACTTCCGGCCTTAGCGGTCTTTGAGTACGCGGCCCTTGAGGATCGTTGAGGCTGCGTACTTTAATAAGGCTGCAGACCCTGAATTGGGAGACAGCCATAGGCTTTGGGAGTGAGAACGTGTTGACCTCAGACCTGCTCTGCCTAGATGACTTTTAACAACAGATAAGGCCTTTTGTTTCTGACAGGTAAACATGTAAAAACATATCTGAAACGTCATATAATGTGTCTTCCCAATCCCTGTTTTTATGCACAGTGACAGGTCTAGATGCGTTTTACTGGTGACGTGTATTCAAATTAGATGTTCGCGCTGTAATTGTTGTTGAAACAGCTCCAATTGGAAATACTTGTTTTCTGCTTGCTGGAGCACTCTGACCTCAGACCTGTTTTCTTCACTAACCTTAGTTGTAATCAGGGGGGATTCTAGGATCAGAGCTTTGGGGGTGCTGAGCACCCAGAGAGCTGCCCAGCCAGGCAACATAAACTTTACTCATCACAATGAGACTTCTTCCATGAATCTGTCAGTCCCTGCATCCTTAAATGTCTCCAGTTGTCCTGAGTTCTCTCTGACTGTCTCCTTGGTGCTTGGTGCTGACTGTCTTTCCTTTTCTTCTTGTTTCAATGTCAGCCTGCTATATTTTTATATACTTTCCTCTCCCCCTCTTTGGACTGACAATCATACACATATAGATTGTATTCAATTAGATGAAAGAAATACATTAATATGAAAAAAAAATACTATTAATCACTAATAAAAAAGTCCTCTCTCAGTGTACTTTGAACCAAAAGGCAAATAACCAAACCACATGTACATAAAACATATAAATATTGAAACACTGATGCAACATTATTCTTGATTGACGGATCATTTGATCTTACACTTTTACCTACATGTGGCTCCTTTTTTTGAAAAAACGTCCTTATATCCATTATGAACCTGGCTGTCTCTCTGTA